TAGCCTCCCCGTAACCTCTCGCTCAATTCCTCTTTGATTGAAAACTGGGAGGGTTTTTACTGATATGACTGATCATTTTCAATATTAGTGTTGTTGTAATTGCAGCATATTTGCATTGTATCTCTGCATCAGGCCACCAGAGAGAAAAAAAAACCTTTGCGCAGAGCACCTGCCGAGAGCCATTTGAGATTTCAGTTCAAGTCCAGAAATGCAACATTCAAATTTAAATAAAGCAACATTTGTCACACAGCGTCAGCCTTTTGTCTGTCAACAGACTGAGTAGAATAGACCCTTTTTTTCCTGCCTCTCATTTATTTCTCTCACTCTTTTCTGCCTCTTGTTCCGCTTGATGTGACACAAGACAGGTTTTTTGTACATCTAACCAAGTTTTTCCCACTTCGTAATTGTTCAAACCTCTGACAGTACAATCCCACGCCCCCTTCATGATCGACCCTCCCCTTCCCGTGTTTCTACAGCAACTGAATTCAAATCCAAACCTACAGCCCGGGATTTTTCTGGGTCTCATTGCTATGGTAACCTGAGAGAATGAGTGGGGGCTGCCGTCTCTTTGTAGTGATGGACAAGAGGGAGGCTACGGGAAAGGGTTAAGTGTTCGACGGGCGAATCTAGAATTCCCCCGCGGAGACTCACTGGATTTTGAAAATCAACTTGTGTATACACACCCACGTGCTTCTGAACCCACAGGATCAGTGAACATGGTCCGTCTGAGGGATTTCCATGGGCAGTCTTGTTATAAAAAAGAGTTGCTAACAGCCACTGTGATCTCTTAAGTATCCCATAATATATAACCACACAGGGATTAGCTTCATGTTAAAGAGGGTTTGTGTGATTTTGCACGTGAAAGTGTTTTCCCTCTCGGCCTGCAGTTTGGCAGGTTATTCCGTGTCCAGCTGCATAAAGGTTGCACAGGAAATGGGCAGCCAGGGGAGGATCCCTCGTACAGAGAGGAAAATGCCTAAAGTTATCCCCACACCTGTTATCATCCGCCTGCACATTTCCTCTCTCCTTGCCCTGCCCAGTTGTTTGAAAGATGCTGTGTGAAACGAGAGGCATTCATTTTATGGTGCCTCTAAGTGAGTGTGTACCGCCCATCAAACACTGGCCGGTCTTTTAGGAGGTCAGTCAAACATTAAACCTAACTATTAAGCACAGCAACAGCCCCAGTCAGGAATGCAGGGTTAATTGTTAGCTATTGTTGTCTGCTTTAACTCTGTGTGTGCTTCTCCCTGTCTTAAGGCCACGTAAAGGGTTGGATGTATTTCATAGCCTGTAGGCTCTGCTCCAGACACACTGTCTGCAGGGAACGCGGTGTGAATAGTGAGGGTTTGGGTTTCTCCTGATATTGTTGCCTTAGGACATTTCAAGAATGATCTGCTTTCATATACAGTACATATGTCTACTGGGGGAGAATCTAAAGATCAAATTATGATTATTTTTTATTTTTTATGCACAACTTTGTCCAGAGAACTGAATGTGACAAACAATACCTTTTATCATATGGGCCTAAACAACCTGTTAAATGCAAATGAGTATGACGAGATGCCGGAAACTTCTCCACTGTTTACTTTCAAACAGCTTTGTCCAGAGCCTTGTATGAGCAACGTGTGTGTTTTCCCCCTGCACGCATCCTTCTGCCATTTAAAGGCCTGATATTGAAGGGAGGAGAAAAGAGTTCATTGAGAGACAGCATAAAAGGAAGTGGGGGTTGGTGGGGAAGGGTAACTCCAGTACCCTGAAAACCAGTCTGCAGTCGTCCAGGCAACCAGCAGATCAAGTTTCAAAGCCTGACAAGGAGTTGTAAGAAGTACAGAGAGGAGGAGAGGCAGTGCGGTATGGGTGTGTGTGTGATAGGGACATGTGTATGTGCTTGTGCATCGATCCATCTGTGTGTTCACACTTCACACCCAAGGTCAAGGCGCGAATCAACCATGCTTTCCTCCACATTGTTTATCTCAGCCCAACTTCCCCTCATTGATAAAGAAAAACAGACTACTACTGTTGAACTGCAACAATATAAAGAAGAAAACAGACACTTGACACACAATGAAGCAGCCTTGGAGTATTCCTGGCATGCTCATCAGAACTCTCCACTCAACCATCTTCCAAACCCTAAATGACAGGACACCAGTTTCATCTGTAATCATGCATGTCATTGCAACACGAGTGATTCATATGTTTGCACTTAATCTCAGGGCCACTGACTGCTCATCGTCTGAGCTGCACCGCCCATATTTTCATAAATAGCAATCTATGTGGTTAGTTATTTGCGAGCAACATTGCGAGCTATGATTGGCTGTTAGAATAAAGACTGTGGCCTTTTGTGACACTGGATGCCGGTCCCCTCTGCATGGTAAGCCCTCTTCTTGCATGTGCTGACTCTGCCAGTCTGGTTGAGTGTGTGTGTGTGTTGACCCTCTCTCTCTTTCTCTCTCTCACCCCTTCCTCTTTGCCCCCTCCTCCCACAGGCCGTGTGTCTCTGACCCGGGGTGCCTCTCTGCGGATTGAGCGGCTGACCCTGGAGGACGAGGGCTGGTTCGAATGTCGCATCCTGCTTCTGGACAGCAAAAAAGACGACTTTAGAAACGGCACATGGACCTTCCTCTCCATCACAGGTGCAGCACTGCAGGGCTTTGGGGACTCGGGAGCAGCTTCTCTCACTGGCACTGTCCTTGTTTAGATCAGCCACAGCAAGGAGCCTGGCAGGGTGTCAGAAGGCCCTGGCAAGCTGAAGTGTTGTAGCAGCGATCAGAGCAGTGTGTGTGACGCTCTGCGCTCACACTGATCCCATCCCATCATGGCCTGTTTTGAGCTGATGTCAGAGTTGATCTTAAGAATGATAGGAGTAAGACAGCGAACTTGGACATTGTGTGGGCTAAAGATTAATAATAATAAATTATATTTCTATAGCGCTTTTCTTGAACCCAAAGACGCTTGATTAGGGTTAAATGCTTAAATCTGAGTTTTTTTCAATCACCTGCTTCCCACTTTGTTTCTAATACACACACACACACACTCATTCTCGTTATTCCACAGTAGAGTTTAAAGCTCCATTGAGAGTGTGAAGACGGGATGTGATATGATTGTACTGCGGTGAATGAAAGGTCTGCATGTGCTGAATCAGGTTGCAGGTGAACACTGGACACCTTTGTACATCACAGTATTAAATCATTCCATGTATTGTGTATCATATGAATACACATTACCCAACAATATATCTGGCAATCCCAAAACCAAACTTGACAGTGCATTGGTCATAGATGATGGCATATTAATCCAACACCCTCTCCAATTCCTTGAGTGCATATATTTTTGCCGTCGATGGATGTTAAATCATGAAACCGTTTTGTTCTTCAATAGAGTGCTGCAGGAGTTCTAAAACCCTGGAAGAAAATTGTTTGTTTTGTGTGTTGGGGCCCTGACATAAGCCCTGTAATTAACACAAGCCTAAGAGATTTGTACATGTGAGTTAACACCATACATGTGCATTTTTTGCTGAGACGTGTAAATATCACAAACATTTTTCTTGCTAAAGAGCTTATTTTCTGCAATAATCCCAAATCTAATGCTAAAGAATCATTTGCTTTTTGCCCAGTGAACTAGCATGATGCCTACTTCCAGGTCAGCCTACATACATATCTCTTTCCACTATAATCACTATCACACAGACAAAACATAGCAGTCTCTCAGTCAACATCATTGGACTTGCTGCTTGTTTTACCATTTGTGGTACTTAAAATCACACATTTGGAAGCATTAACAGGGTCTCTTACTGAATGTGTTGACTCAGTAGAGTACAACATATGGTTATAAACAGCTCAATTCACAAGTATACTTCACAAAATGTGTATCTCCAAACAGAGGACATACAAGGTCTGGGGATCATACAGATAAACCAGATGTTTTAAGAATCAAACCAGTCACAGGTGATCCCTCTCATATGTTTTACCATTATTTAGGTTTACCTTTTAAGCGTTTGTTGAGAAGTTGTCCACCTTTAAGATGCCCTCATTGACTGTCGATGTCTGCAGTAAGTGCAAAAAGTGCTCTAATCGTCCTGTCGATATGTCCCATTTAAAAAAGGCAAGTGGAAATAACCCTTACATCTGTGCTCCCTTTGTCCTAGCCCCACCTGTGTTTATAAAGACTCCTCCAAGTTTCGTGGAGGTTCTGCTCGGAGACTCACTGACTCTCAGCTGCGGAGCCCATGGCAACCCTCGACCAACTGTTGTCTGGCATAAAGATGAGAGCCGAATCGAGAAACATGAAAAAATTAAAGTGAGATGAATTAACAGATGGCATTTGCAGTGTTTTAATTAAATACTTTATAATTAGCATTTTCTGTAAGAGTTGGACTTTGATGTTGCTTTGAAGCAAAGTGCTTTGTTGTCCTCTCGTTGACAGCCTCATGATCTTCCTCCGACTTTTCTCTCTCTTTGATCCTCTCCCTCTTCACCTTCGGCCCCTTCTAGGTGCTCAATGGTACCTTGTCTTTGGCCTCCGTCGAGAGAAATGTTTCAGGAACATACAAATGTCACGTGTCCAACTCCGAGGGGAATCTCACCCACTTCCTGCAGCTGCAGGTCAAAGGTCAGTGTTGAACTGTCAATCATCAGGGGAGAACTGAATTCCTGCTTATCTCTTGTCCAGCATACACTGTGATGTTCAGGTGAACGAGACACAACATGTCAGTGAGGTTTTTAAACTACGCTTTGAATGTCTGTTATTTTCTGACGTCACACTGACACTCAAACTAAAGAAAAGGCCGAATAAACTAATGGGTAAAAAGTCTTAATAGGGACGAATTGACTTATCTGATGTTAGTGTTTTTCTGATAAAATCTACTTTCTTTAATGAATACATGTCAGGTTAGTCCACACCATACATGCTGTGAGTGTGTTTGAGAGAGATTGACAAAAAAAGGGCAAGAGAAGCTAGAAGGTGGACTGTTGCACGCAGGCGTTCCGTAAGTTATTCATAACTGCTGCTTTCCCCCTGTCTGCCCTGAACCTGTCATTTTGTTATAGTAAGCTTATCTCGGCATGCTTTACTACTTTGCAGCCACCACCGGAAACTTATCCTACAAATATTATAATACTAATACAATTGGTGAAGCCTAATCATAATCTGCAACCGTGCAGCAGTACCAGGTTTAAAGAGAACAAACAAACGCAAGATGCACATCAGTCGACTGTCAATGTTATAAATGAAGTTTTGAACTGTTTGGTAAAGCCCTATAAAGTAACATCTACAAGGTATGGTTTTCTGGAATACAAAATATCTATGTTATCCTGTTCTCATCAAAAGCTTTGAGATTGTGTATGTGTTACCCACCAAACCCAGGGAACAGGTGGAACATCCTGGTTACAGAGTGTATACTGCCACCTAGAGTCCATCCCCTGCTGTAGCATTGATTCAAGACCAACTGTTACGTCCCCACTAAGGTCTAGGGGACCTGGAGACAATAACATACAACCAATAAAATGAGGGAGTCAGTGTCAGTTGACAAAAGGTTTATTTTGCGTAAACCCAGAATCGAACAGACATATACTTGAAACACTCGGTTGGTGAGGAGGAGGAGGAGGAGTCAAAGGATTGTGCCAAACAAAAGAAACAAGCATAACAAAACCAGGCCTATCTCTACATCTATCCTTTGAAACCAAAACTCAAACAAAAAAACCCTCACTAACTAAACTACAAAGAATTTGACAAAACAATATACAGGGGTGGCAACAATCCGCTAACCTAGTGTGTCTGAACATTAGTTAGCTACGTGGTGAGAAATGTACAGGGTACCCCAGACTTACCTAACTCCTCCACCTCTCAACACACACACTTTCACAAAGGTCAGACAATTCAAAGTTCATGAGTTGCTAAACACTGCAGGCTCCTTCATCAGCAACAGGCCCAGAGTGAGAGAGAGAGAAGACTTCCTGGGTGCCTCCTTTATGGTCGGCCCTGGCTGCTGATAGGCCAGCTGAGGGTGAGGGGATCTAATCAGCCATCAGACTCAGGTGCACAGGCAGATTCCGATCAGCTGCCGATTAGCTGTGCAGAAGACAGGGAGAAGAGAGAAACACAGGAGGGAAAGAAAACCCCACAAGTACAGCCTGCCTGGCACGTAACACCAACCAACAGTCAGGACTTATCTCTTTAATTAGGCCAGACTGTGCGCATCAAGATAGAAACACAATACTTACAATAGGGTGTGTTTTGTTTTCTTCCCACTTGTCAAAAGGACCTCCAATCATCATCATCTCCCCAGAGGACACCACCCTCAACATGTCCCAGGATGCAGTTCTGCAGTGCCAGGCTGACGCCTACCCTTCTAACCTCAGCTATGAGTGGCTGAAACAAGGACAGAATGTTTACCATATTGAGTGAGTTCACGTCTTTAAATGAGCATTACAGTACAATATATCACGTTACATTTACAACCCAAGATAGTTAGTCACATCACAGATTCTTACATCTGTCAAATGTCAAACATAGTTAATAAGACTTAATCAATTACAGTAACCTCATTTTATTTAGTGGAAAACTGGGGAGATTATATAAAGCAAGTCTTTATATACACACAATGGATAGCTCTGGCATTTCTCCACAGCATGCATCTAATGCGATCCCTTCTAATTAGATTATTTATAAGACTGTTGTATCATGTGGTCTTCAGCTTGCTATAAACCTCAAATAAATGAGATTAGTCTTTAGATTATTGCCATGTTTTCAATGCTCTGATAATCTTATCAACATTATCTTTTTGTTTGAATACTTCTCAAAATGTACCTTGCTTTGTTGTTTTGGCTTTAGGTCCCTGAAGACCAGAGTGAAGGTTTTGGTGGATGGAACACTTCTTATCCCTAATCTCATCCCAGAGGATAGCGGAAACTACACCTGCATCCCGACTAATGGGTTACTCACCCCGCCCTCTGCCTCTGCGCACCTCAAAGTGAAACGTAAGCCTGCGATGAGTGTTTTATTTTATTTACTTTTTCCAAACATTTAGTTTCTCTTAAAGCCCTGGGCAAAAGCATCTTTACTTTATGTGATCAATTCATTTCCCTGCATCTCAGACCCTGCACGCGTGGTCCGAATGTCCCGGGAAACGTACTTGCCTGCGGGCATGGAGGGGCGCATTATCTGCCCCGTCCAGGCTGACCCCCCTGTGCTGTATGTCAACTGGACCAAAGATGGGAACGATTTGAATCTTGACAACGTAATCTACAGCTAGCAACACAGTTTGCCCTGCATTGTCTCAGCCTCCACACAATGCCACATGTTGATAATTTCTTTTTTTCACCTGTCCAGTTTCCAGGTTGGATAGTGAACTCAGAGGGCTCCGTGTTTATTGCAACAGCCAATGACAACGCTGTAGGCATGTACACATGTACGGCCTACAACAGCTATGGCACCATGGGGAAGTCTGAACCCACGAAGGTCATTTTGCAGGTGAGGCGGCTGTTCTTCTTCTGATATATAGAAAACTGTTTCCTAGTAGTTAACACAAGGGCAGAAGTAAAACGTCTCTCTTTCTCCTGCAGGACCCCCCAACATTAGATGTGCCTCCTCGGACTGAGTATCTCCAGGAGGTGGGCCGAGACTTGATCATCCCCTGTGAAGCCTCTGGAGACCCCGCTCCAAACGTAACCTGGAGCAAGGTACGGGGTGTTTTTTTTACTGATCAGTAGAGGCGCTGAACTATCACTTTTTTCGTTTCTTATTTTAACCTGTTGCTAAATGTCCTTCCTCACAGATTGGCCCTTCTCCTCGCTCCGAGTACGCCGTGTTAGCTAACGGCTCCCTCCTGCTGCAGCCGCTCAGTAAAGACCACCATGGGGGCTGGGAGTGCTTGGCCACTAATCGTGTTGCAACTGTCAGCGCAGGCACTGTGGTCATGGTGCTCGGTGAGTGGGCCAAAGTTATATTTGTTTACATGTAACATCCATCTTGAGTGAATTCTAGGTCTAGTCTAACATTTACTTTCATTATCGATTCATCTTCCAATAATCTTTTGGGATGAATCTAATGCCCCTTTTTTCTAAAGAATGTCACAGAAATAGTGAAAAATAACCAGGGAATGTCTTAAAATGCACTTTCAGTCCAAAAGCCAAAATATATTAAAGGTCCCATGACATGGCCATTTCTACTGATCATAATTCCATTGTTGAGGTCTACTAGAATAGATTTACATTGTTCAATGTTCCAAAATCACATTGGTTTCTCATACAGAATCTCTGTATAGTAAGTGTATTCACTCTCTGTCATAAACGGCTTGTTGGAGCTCCTGCTCCTGGAGCTCATTTTTCTGCTAATAATAACAAGACAAAAATATCCAACTATAATTGTATATTTTATTATGGATTGAACGTGAACTAAAGTGCTTGTATTGGCAGATGACCCTGGGCCACTGTGAAATTATGATGCCTAATTGAAACAATTACAAATGCTACTTATCGATCTAGTTCTTTAACAGTATTTTTATAGGTTCTTTTTGTTGTTTTTTTAAGGGGAAAACAAAACATTTGAAAGAGAATTAACATGGATTTATGTTATGTATAGTGTGGATTATGGGCTGCTAGCACACATAACATACTTGCAGTGGTGATGGTAACTAAGTAGATTTACTTCGTTAACGTTTTGGAGTATTCATCCATATTGCTGACAGAGGTACTTTATTAAGAGTTTCTCTGTTCCTCAGGCACCAGTCCTCATGTTGTGTCCTCAGTAAATGTCGATACAGAGATGAACCAGGCCAACGTGTCCTGGGTGCCTGGCTTCGATGGTGGATACACCCAGAAGTACACTGTGTGGTAAGTAACACAAAATACATACTGTTTGATGATGCCGTTCTCACCTCTGAAAAACATACTGTTTTCTGCTTTATGTCTTTATTTTGTCTGTTTTGCTTTCCTTCCAGGTTCAAGCAGGCATCCAGAGGGAAACATGAATGGGCCTCTCTGCCTGTGCCGACTTCCAAAAACGACCTGCTGGTGACCGGGCTTCTTGCTGGCACTAGCTATCAGTTCAGCATCCTACCTCAGAATAAACTCGGCTCTGGACCTTTCAGTGAGATCGTTTCTGTGCGAACATTAGGTTTGTGCGAGTTCTTTTTGGAGTTCCCCTCACTCTCTCTAATGCTGTTTTACAGTTTGAACTTATATTCAGGGTTCGTACGGGTGCTGGAAATCCTTGAAAATGCTTGACATTTTATGAGGTGTTTTCAAGGTTTGAAAAGTGCTTGAATTTGGGATTAAGTGCTTGAAATTGTAAATGCTTTACTTCGCAAAACAGCTCCCCTCCGGCCTTCCCTGCAAGTGTTTTTGTTACGTGTGACCTGGGCATTCTGATGAGAGTGATAGATGACAGGAGTATGCCAGGAGGTTGCAGTTTCAACGAGCGTTGGCTAGCAGAAGACAAATACAAGCCATGTCTAAGACGAGGGTCAAGCCCACGAGTAGCCTCCTGCAAAGTTTGCAAAAAAATAATTTCAGTTCTTCACGATGGGAGAGTCTGCGCTGAGTGTGTTTGTGTGTATTGTGTTTGTGTCAGGGAAACACCCACAAGAAACACCGGCTGTTGTTATGCTTCTAGCATTTACATGTAGAGTCAGGGAAACTCAGATCATTGTGACAAAGATTGACATCAGGGCACAGGCCAGAACTAGGGCTACATACAATAGAAGGTCCAGGATGAACATGCATATTACCCGATATCATCAGTAGTAATACAATCAGAGCACGGCCAAGAGCTAGCAGTGAGTCACAATGCCTAGTTTATTTTGTGCGCACATTGACAGTGGAATGTAGCATAATCATCTTTTGTTGAGACCTCATAATCACACACGATAGTAGTGGCTGTTCGCATTTGTTATGCGCAGGAGGGGGTAGGGAGGCAGCGAATAACGCAAGGAAAAAGCAGTACAGTTTGGGATTAGCCATTGTTAGTCCAGTGAAGGTTGGAAGCAGCACTCACCCAGAGGTCAACAGTCCTTGGTTGTCCAAGTCCTTGGTTGTTTATAGCATAAAGAACATCTGATTTAATGTGAGGTAGGGAAATAATCGTTTGAGTATAAGTACGTGTATATAAATATGTAATTNGACACAACATGTGTGCAAATGTATTTAGTATTCTATCCATGTGAACATGATTTAAGTGTGGGGACCTAACCTCCTGTAGGGGGGTCCGTGGGCATGCTCCCCCGGGAAGATTTTTTTNGGTGCATTTTCAAGCTTTTCAAGCATCTTACAGCTGTTGTAAATTACATATTTATATACACGTACTTATACTCAAACGATTATTTCCCTACCTCACATTAAATCAGATGTTCTTTATGCTATAAACAACTAATGTGAGGTAGGGAAATAATCGTTTGAGTATAAGTACGTGTATATAAATATGTAATTTACAACAGCTGTAAGATGCTTGAAAAGCTTGAAAATGCACCTTGAAAAGTGCTTGAATTTGACTTTGGAAAAGGTGTAAGAACCCTGTATATTGTG